GCTGTCCTCGTCTTTCTCTCCTCCTCCCTCATCCTCCCTCCTCCTCCTCCTCCTCACCGACCCCCTCCGGCCCTCCTCGATCCTCATCCTCAGCATCACCCTCATCCTTCTCTCCTATCCTCCTCCTTTCATTATACTCCTCCTCGTCATCCTCCTCCTCCTCCTCCTCCTCACCTTGCCTCCTCCTCCTCCTCCTCCTCCGCCTCCTCCTCCGCCGGCTCCTCGTCATCATCATCATCATCATCAGCGTCATCCGCAGCATCACCATCATCGTCAGCAGCAGCATCATCAGCAGCAACCTAATCACCACCTTGATCAGCAGCCTCATCCTACTCATCCTCATAATCACCCGAACCATAACCGACATCCTCAACATCAACATCGTCGATTGCATCAACAACAACAACAACAACAACAACAACAACAACAACAACAACAACAACAACAACAACAACCACAACAACAACAACCTCATCTTAATCAATGAAATATTTGCCACAATCACCCATCTCCTATCCGTCCTCCAATATGGCATCATCGTCACCCGCATCATCAACATCCTCATAGACAGTACCGCCATAAGCATCATCAGCAGCATCAGCATCATCATCACCATCAGCATGGCCACCACCATCGGAATTCGCCTCCGTCTCCTACTCGTCACCATCAGCTGCAACAGCAGCAGCATCATCGTCGTCGTCGCCCGTGTGATCATCAGCAGCATCATCGTCAGCAGCAGCAGCCGCAGCCGCAGCAACATCACCATCATCGTCGACGTAATCAACGTCACAATCGTCATCACACCCGTCACCCTCAGTATCATCATCATCATCAGCATCATCATCATCATCAGCATCATCAGCATCAGCATCATCATCCGCATCATCATCAGCATCATCAGCAGCATCAGCAGCAGCATCAACATCAACAGCATCATCATCGTCATCGTCATCATCCTCAGCATCATCATCACAATCAGCATCATCACCACAATCAGCATCATCACCAGCGTCGGCATCTCTGTCATCATCAGCAGCATCATCACATCACCATCGGCATCATCATAAGCAGCAGCATCACAGTCAGCATCGTCAGTAGCATCATCGCATTAGCATCATCATCGGCAGCAGCATGAGCATCATCATCATCGCCATCATCAGCATCATCAGCATAATCAGCAGCAGCAACATCTTCTCCCCTTTCATCAGCACCACCGTCATCATCATCAGCATCATCACCACCATCAGCAGCAGCATCAGCAGCATAGTCGCGCCTTCCCGCTCATCCTCCGCCCTTCCACATCCTCATCCTCATCTGCCTCCTCCTCACCACCATAATCATCGCCAGCATCAGACTCAGCAGCATCATCATCAATCACCATCACCATCAGCATCAGCATCATCGCCATCATCGTCATCATCATCAGGATCAGCATTCTGAGCACCATGGTCGTCAGCATCAGCATCAGCATCTTCATCATCACCATCAACATCATCATCACCATCAACGTCATCATCATCCTCAGCACGATCATCATCATCACCTTCATCATCACCATCAGCATCATCATCGTCCTCACCAGCAGCATCATCATATTATCATCATCATCATCATCATCATCATCATCATCATCATCATCATCATCATCATCATCATCATCATCATCATCATCCCCATCATCATCATCATCATCATCATCATCATCATCATCATCATCAGCAGCAAATCACCATTACCATTATCGTCGTCATCATCCTGATGATGATCATCAGCAGCAGCAGCATCATCATCATCGTCAGCATCATCAGCATCAGCAGCATCATCATCATTGTCGTCGTCATCAGCATCATCATCATCAGCAGCATCAGAATCACCATGATCATCAGTATCATCATCCGCATCAGCATCGTCATCGTGATCGTTATCGCCATCGTCATCATCAACATCCTCATCATCAGCAGCAGCAGCAGCATCAGCATCATCATCGACATCGTCATCGTCATCGTCGTCATCATCATCATCCACATCATCGTCATTATCAACATGGTTATCACTCATCATCATCATCATCATCATCATCATCATCACCATCACCAGCAGCCTCACCAACACCATTATCCGCATCGTCAGCATCATCATCATCATCATCACCATCACCATCATCAGCATCAGCATCAACCATCATCAGCATCATCACCATTACCATTACCATCATTCGCCTACTTCTCCTCATCCTCCTCTTCCTCGTCCGAGTCTTCCCGTTGATTATCCTCCTCCTCCTCCTCCTCCTCCTCCTCCTCCTCCTCCTCCTCTTCCTCCAACGCCTCCTACCCCCCTCCTCGTTTATCCTCGATCCTCCTCGCTCCGCCTCGCTCCTCGCTCCTCGCTCCTCGCTCCTCGCTCCTCTCCTCCTCCTCCTCCTCCTCCTCCTCCTCCTCCTCCTCCTCCTCCTCCTCTTCCTCCTTCTCCTCTGTCTCCGCCTCCTCCTCCTCCTCGTCCTCCCTTGTGCTACTGCCCCTCGACTTAGGATTTGTCAGGACGCACCAGTCATTTTGATTCGCGAAGTTGAAGTCCTAGGAATGTTGTTCTGGCACGAGTGAAGATTATGAGAGGGTTCGCTTCCAAAGGGGGAGTTCCCGCAATGAAAGACCAAAGATCTATGAAGAGGGAACTTGGGGAGATGTTTTCTTGCAACACCGTGGCTACGTCTTGCGTTTGCACTGGTCGTCTTCCTCCGCCTCCTCCTCCTCCTACTCTTCCTCTTCCTCTTCATCCTCCTCCTCCTCCTCCTCCTCCTCCTCCTCCTCCTCCTCCTCCTCCTCCTCCTCCTCCTCCTGGTCCGCATCCTCCTCCTCCCGGAATCGACGGCGCTTCCGTGGTGCGCCCCGCGCCGCAGAGATGCGTTCGCAGCCCCACGTACGAGGGAATCGGCGACACGCTGGACATGCTTCGGGTGCTGCCAGAAGCCCACCGACCTTCGTTCCGTTTCGGCACTCCTGGAGCCCTCTGCACAGGAGCGAAATACACATGAGCCTGCACGTTCGAAGCCCGCGCGGATTTACTGGATCGGAGCTGGACACCCGCGGCGCCAGAGGAGCCGGCAGGGGGGATCAAGCGCCGATCCAAGAAATCCGCACACAGACCTCCGAGAGTTCTGTTCGCATCCTTGCGGAACTGCTCTTCGTGCCTCGGCCTCGTGAGGGGTGCGCCGAGGCCGTGAGTGGAACACCGTGTGGACACCTCGGGGCCAAAGGGGGGCACCTCCGGCAAACTCCGAGGCACTCTGGCAGTGCGGCCCCCGTGCGGGGCGCGCGTGAAACCCGGGCCCGCGGCCACCGCCTCCTCGGCCTGGCCCCGCCCCCGCGGCACGAGGAGGGCCCCTCACGCGCCGACCGCATCGATGGCGGGGAGCACCTGCGGACCCGGGCCCGGCCCGGCCCCACCCTCTGCCCTTCCCTGACGCGAGGGCAGCGAGCCGCCCAGATCTCCGACGACCCGATGTCTTCTAGCCCGGCGCACGTCTTCGGTTTCGGCCTGCGGGGCCCGCGATCCGGCCCCCGGCCCACCCAACATGAAACCGGGGCGCAGAACTAGAGCCCCAGGGAGGGGTTCGAGAGAGCTCTGGAACCGCGGATGGACAAAGCAGATCGGGGGATGCTTGGGCCCGGCACCGCCCCTCCCTGGCGGCCAGGGGAGACGAAACCCATACACCGAGACTCCACACAAAGAGAGTCCTACGTTTCTTCCTCCTCCTCCTCCTCCAACACCTCCTTTTTCCTGCTCCTCGTCCTCCTCCTCCTCCTCCTCCTCCTCCTCGTTCTCCTCCTCCTCCTATTCCTCCTCCTCTTCATCCTCATCCTCCTCATCCCATCGCCGATCAGATCGGCAGTTTATAACTGCACATCGTTTGTTTGAAAACCCTTCGCTGCGCATCAGATATAACTCCCCTGTGGACTCCACAAAGAGCGCTGCTCTCGTACATCAGCACTGCCTCGCACCGTCGCCGTGACGTTTGGAGCGTGTTTCTGGGCATCCCCACAACCAGCATTGGAATCGAATAGATGCACCGCCTCAGCGCGCCTGCATGTAGAATGGGGATGTGCCCCTCCCCCTATGCAGGTTGCCTACACCGCCCGTTCCTGCTGCCCCCGCGTCCCTTCATCTATCGCTTCCCTAGTGACCGCCTCTCTCTCTCTCTCTTTCTCTCTCTCTCGCTCTCTCTCTCTCTCTCTCTCTCGCTCTCTCTCACTCTCTCTCTCTCTCTCTGTCTCTCTCAACCCCCTTCTCTCTCCCATCATCCGCTCTCTCATAGCCGCATTTCCCACCACCACCACCAAGCCCCATCCCCGCTACCTGATTTCCCGCATGCTCTTTCCCATCATTCCACCTTATCTCTGAAGATTCCATCCGCGCTGAACCGGTCACTGTCCACCCACAGAAAAGGGTCTCCACGTTCGCGCAAGTCTCTCTCGAATGGTGGACGCTATTTCTGCCCCCCTCAGTCAGGGACAACAGGCATCACCACAGAGCGGCGATCAACACACGTTAACGTTCGCATACAGGGGCCAGCCACCATTCAGGCTGCGCACTCCGCCAGTCTCCTCCTCCTTCTCCTCCTCCTCCTCCTCATCATCCTACTGGTACTCCCCCTCCTCCTCCTCCTCCTCCTCGACGGCGGTCGGCTCGCGGCCGCTGTTGCGATGGCGTGGGACTCAGCCTGGCCAGGGCTGCGGCTTCCAGAGCGGACGGCATCAGGGTCCAAATGATCAGGCCGCACCCGCCATGTCTCGGGCAGACCGCTCTTATCGCTTCAGACCCTGGGGGATCCCTTACCCGATTAGGGCGGCGGTGATATCCATGGCGAGTCCACGATTGGGGCTCCGCCGGCTTCCAGACCCTGGATTCCTCACCAGATGGTTGCCTATATCCCACGCCCTCACTGTAGGCACGGCCCCGGTGCCCACGAGTGCAGGGGGCTTCGCGGGGGGAGAGGAAGGAGC